AAGATTGGTGTCGGTTTCCTGGGGCCAACACAGCTCACTTTCTTACACACTACTTAGCAGCCTTGACCCTACATTCAGGAGGCCCTCTCTTTGGGAACAATGCCCGCCATATTCAAGGAGGGCCTGTGTGACAGATGGCAGAGTTCTTGCGAGCCTCTTGGAATGCTGTGTCACCGCTCACATCAGGAACCCACAGGCGCTGCACGGACATTGAAGTGTCTGTCAGTCAACAAAAGGCACGATGCACATCACAGGGCTGTGCTGAATCCAGGGTTCCCACCGAGACAGTTAGAATGCTTATTTATCACCCCAGATCCTCTAGAACGTCATCCATTGCCCAGCTCCTTGATGGGCCTAGGAGGGGCGCCGGGGGGCCTGCTCCTAACGGCTCTGTCTGGAGCCTGGCTGCTCAGGACATAAAGAGTAGCCCTTGGCACTTGAACAAGCTCAAGACAAGCCTAAGGGCTGCATTGGATCCAGGCTCCGGGGATGGAAGCAGCACAGGCCCTAGTTGTCATGGGACTGGTCGTCTTTCCCGATGGGGCCCTGCACAACTTCACACACAGCACCAATAAAATAACGCCCTAGCGGGGTACTGTTGATGATGTCACTGGAAAACACCTCCAGGGAGTTCGTGCTGACAGCTTTGGCCAGCCTTAGTCTCTTCTAGGACTCAGCATTGTCAGGTTGGCTGGTCCCAACCCATATTTAGGTCTGCCCCTGCCAAAGACATGCGTGATGACCTCCTCAGACATTTCCGATTGGCCTGCGAGTCCCATTCTCCTGGCTCAGACCCTTTAGCACTCTGGCGCTGGCCTCTTTTGGTCCCAGATTTGAGGAAATAAAAATAGAAGAGGAAAACACTCTGCTCTCCAGGGCTGTTTCGACAGCTGCTTGGATGGAGGCAGAGTGCACCTGGCAGGAGGACCATGCTGCCCCCACGGCATCAACTCTGGTGCTCCCTGACTCCTGAAGTCCTCTGAATTACCAGGACAAGGCCCTGACTCTGTGATCAGCTCAGATGAAACATGGTGGCCGAGTCACACCCAGAAATTACCCTCCCAGCTCTACTGGCCCACCTCAAGTCTGGTCCTACCCACCATTCAGCCAGGACACAGGCTCCACCCTCCAAAGGGCCCTGAGTGTAATTATGTGTTTTGCTGTGGCCGGCTTGAAGTGATTAATGTTTGTGGACAAGTGCCCCATATTTTTATTTTGCCTGGGGCTCCACAGATCCTGTGGCCAAGGGATAGAGTAGGGCATCTATCACGTGTCACTCATCAAGGACATTCTTAGAGTCTGTGGGCCTTAGGTGCTGTCCTGGGCAGGACAAGCTCTTTGCAGGTGAACGATAAGCCATCAAGCAAAAGGTCAGACACCAGCAAGGTCTCACAGGAGTTACCAGGGGTCCCAGAAGGAGGAAAGGTCTACTCAAGCTAGGGCCTTCAGAGGTGGGTGGAGGGAAGTGGGCACGGTCAATGTGAAAAGCAGGGTCAGAGCAGAGGACAGGGGTGCCTTCTGATGAGCTGGGTGCAGTCGTTTAAACTGCCCCCCCCCACACACACACACACGCATACACTGCCAAAGTCTCCTAAAAATGATCAGCAAAAGGCTGGAGAGATGAATCAGCAGTTAAGGGCAGTGGGCTGCTCTTGCAGAAGGCAGGGTCCAAATCCCAGCACCTACGTGAGCTCTCAAAACTGTGTGTTACTCAAGTTCCATGGGATCTGATGCCCTCTTCTGGCCTTCTCAGGCACTGCATGCACGTATATACAGACATGCATGCAAAATGCCCAATGCAAAATAATAGTTAGT